ACGCTGAGGGGATTTGGTTTCCTTCAAAATTACTTCAGATTTGTTGAGAAAATCACTCTCCAAGAAAGAAAGACTGATAATCTAGCTGCTATCCTCTTATGGTTTGAGAAATTTCCGGGTAAGTGTCATGCAACTTACACACCATTTGAAATCATGACTATTGATAAATATCTTGCAGCATTTCATAGTCACTGTAGATTCAGGCAGTATACTCCCCAAAAGCCTTCCAAATAAGGCATAAAAGGGCCAGCCAGATAGCTCAGCAGACTAAAGCATGTGCTCAGGCAGATGCTGGGACCAGGCTTTGATCCCTGCCGGCCATAACAGTCCTACCCCTGGGGTGCACTGAGACAGTAAATAAGACTGGGTATGGTGGTGCACCTGTAATCCCAGTGCTTGGGAGGCTGAAATCAGGAGGATCACTACGAGTCCCATCTGTGTAGTGAGACCTTGTAGACACTGTACAAAAAAAAAAAAAAAAAAACCAACTAGAAATTTATGCCCATTGGGGCTGGCCAAATAGCTCAGTGGATTAAAGCATCTGCTTAGACAGATGCAAGGGCCAGGAATTTGATCCCCAGGCCTGTCATGCAGGTCCTGCCCCCAGGGCACTGAGACAGTGATTGAGACAGGGCATGGTGGTGTGTGCCTATAATCCCAGCACTTGCGAGGTTATAAACAGAAGGATCACTACAAGTCCAATCTACGCAGTGAGACCTTGAACATCCTGTCCTAAAATACAAAAAAAATGTATGCCCATGTAAATGTAAAGACTTATTATGCTTTTAATTTAGAAATTTATCCTGTAACTTAACCACCAGGTCCTTATTTGCATAATAGTAAACCCAGTGATGTAAACAAAGTAGTAAATGAAGCTATGGGAACAGACTTGTTCCTACCTCTAAATTTAATCTGATCTGGTAAACTATCCTACAATTGGTTTATAGGTTTCCAATTGATGTTACATTTGCTAATAGAGCACAAACTGACCAGCACAGGAACTGTATACAAGAACAAAACAGAAATTCTAAATGATGCTGGAATTTCAAAACAGAAAATTGTATGGTACAATCTTTGGATTTCAGAAAGATGTAACATTGGCCTGTATATGGCAAAGAAAAATAAACTGGTACTGCTAATGTCTACACTGTACCATGATGGAAATATTGATAGACAAAGCTCAGCAAAACAAACCTGAGATGTTAATGTTCTACAATAAAACTGAAGGTGGAGAAGTTGTTGATATCTTATGCAGCAATTATCATGGCACTCAAAACACAAAAATATGGCCAATGGCTGTATTTTACTTGAGGCTAAACATGTGTGGTGTAAATAGTTTGATAGTTTACAAAGAAAATAACAAGTGCAGGTTGGCGAGATAGCTCAGTGGACTAAAGCACCTGCTTAGGCAAGCTTAGGCAAGCACAGGGACTACAGTTCAGTCCCTGGCACCACACACCATGCCAGCCCCACCCCAGGGCAGGCTGAGTCTCCAGAGTCCAGGTGTAGTGGTGCACACCTGTAATCCCAGTGCTGGGGAGGCTGAAAGCAAGAGGATCACCATGAGTCCAAGCTGTGTAGTGAAGCCCTGCAACAACCAAACACATTTAAAAAAATAATAATAAATAAAATAAAGAGAAAATAACAAGTGCAAAATACCACGGAAAAATTTTCTTAAGAGGCTCAGGACTGGAACTCAAAAGACATCATTTACAACAGAGGAAAAGCAAAATATTTCTGCCCTGAGGGGGGCCGGGGAGATGGCTCAGTGGAATAAGTGCTTTCCTGGCAAGTACAAGGGCCTGAGTTCAATCCCCGGTTCTGCCTAAAAAATAAAAAAATAAAAATGATTTAGATTTGGGGCCGGGGAGATGGCTCAGCAGGATAAGCGCTTGACTGGCAAAC